ATCGGAAAAGGGGGAAGTGGCCGAAAACAATCATTGAAATGTCAAAATTTGAATACTTTTTTGGTACACCAAAAAATGTAAGTTTCAGGCACTTAGGTACCACCGATTTCAATTTCCTAGTTCAATCTACAGTGCCAGGAGTCCTTTTGAAGGAGAAACAAAGACTTTTATGATACGATGACGCTTTTTTAAAAAAAATCATGCGCGCAGTGAATTTTTGGCGTATTTTCGGGGTTTTAGCAGAAAGACTACAGATCCTGGGTTTATAAGGCCTAGAGTCAACCTTTTTTTTTCAAATGAACCTTAAAAACCGCTTTTATTGGAAAACCCCACTAACCTTCAAATTTATTGGAAAGAGTTTACATGAAAGCCTGAAATTTGCTAAAATTACGGCGTCAAAGACGAGTCTCCCCCCTTAAATTTCATAATCTGGATTTGAAGTTAATTGTAGAACAATGGATCTTAAATTTTATATCCAAAACGTTTTTAAATTTCATAACTTGCTGTTCTAAACTTTCAGAAGTGGTTTATGAAATGTAAGAACTAGTTTATTAATTTCAGAATCTACGTGTTTTGAAAATTCACTTTTGGGTTCTGAATCTCTACAACCACTATTATGAAACATGATAAGTTTCATTACTGCCCACAAAATGTGTAAATAAAACCCTTATCCCTTTCGTAACGTATATGTTACAAATGATGAAATGTCAGAAAGCTATGATTTCTCCCGAGAGAACGTGGCGCCAGCGTCACTCCTATTGGGAAGGCACTTAATAAAATTAAAGGACTCACTATCTCTGCAAGAGGCCTTCTTCCTCCTGAGAGACATCTCAATCCACTCCCGGACTGTGCAACACAAGGCGGATCTTGCGTGCACCCAACCTAATGGCCGACCGCAGTCGCCAGCGAGTGGCAACTTGGACAAGCGTTTTTCTCGACTTAAGTGTAATATTTTGTTTAAAACTGAAAGCCAACGGCTAGGGCTGACACTTACTTAGGCAACTGATGGTATATTTATCAAAACTTATTTACTTTCGTAACATAAATCGGAAATACTTATTGGTGAACGGGCACGGCGCTCCAAGCGCCACCTAGCGGCAGGTTTGTGCAACCTGACGTCAGGCGGCTGACAGTGGACCATCCCCTTTCCCATAGCTCACCTTTTACAAGGTAACTTAAAATAAACGATGCCAAAATGCTTTGCAGCGCTACGTTTATTTTCAGCTTCATAATAACATCACTTTAAATTTCGCAAGGATTCAAAACCATGGCTCATCTACATAAGTAGTTCTGAGTTGCCTTAGCGGTTCGGAAAATGTTAACACATGCCGATAAAAATGAAAACTTCACCTATTTATTAATTTACCATGAATAAAGGACTAGGGAGCAGGACTAAACGGTTAAAATTTTCAGAACCTTGCTCTTAAATCGGCAAGCGTTATAAACTTTCAAAGCGAAAATCTAGATTTAAAAACCGGAGTTATAAGTTACTCTGTTTTAAAAATTTATAACCAGTTAATCCTAAAATCCATAACCCAAATCTTAGGTTTCATTACACGATCTTAAATTTCATACGAAGGTTATAAAAATTGAGGTTTAGAACGTAATTATGAAATTTTGGAGTCCTTTGGATATGAAATTTCATAAATTTTTTTAGAGTGATCTACACCAAATTTAGCCCCTAAAGTTGAACTTGAAAAAGGACATTTGGTACATCCAAAATGACCCTCTACGCACGGAATCACCCAGACCTGGTGTTGCAATTATGAGGACTTTTACGAGTCAATTCATGTGTGAGTCAGGCCCGTACTGCCGTTACAGCCGGAGTTAAGTGGTCAAAAGCAAAGCTCTGCGCGGTCCCGTAGCTACTTCATGTGATACGTCCTTATCCAAGGCCTTACAAAGTGAGAAGCCACGAAACGTTACAGGAACATTAAGGAAAAAACGTTTCCTACACTACCAGCACCATTTCGATCTTATTCTTCAGGATTCTCTACAAACAAGTCAGCCAGCTCACAGTTATCGAGGTTTTTTCGAGGAAGCCCTTGCAAAGTTAGAAGCCGCCGAAAATTGGTGGAACATTTTGAAACAAACGTTTCTAAGGAGAACCGCGTTGTTTTCAACTCGTTTTACGCGGATTTGTACTTGGCAAGTTCGCCAACCCAAACAAACAACCCTTTTTCGTAAAACGCACTTGTGTTATCGGTGGCCTTGAAACGATGTTAGAACATTTTGGAACAAACGATTCTAAGGCCATTAGCATTATTTTCACCTTTTTTTTTTACGCGGGTTTGTTGTTTAGAAGTTCGCCAACCCAACAAAACAACCGTTTTTCGAAAAACGCAATTGTGTTATCGGTGGCCTTGAAACGATGGTAGAACATATTGGAACAAACGATTCTGAGGCCATTAACATCATTTTCACCTTTTTTACGCGTGTTTGTATTTTGAAAGTTCGCCAACCCAACAAAACAACCGTTTTTCGCAAAGCGCATTTGTGTTATCGGTGGCCTTGAATCGATGTTGGAACATTTTGGAACAAACGATTTAGAGGCCCTTAGCATCATTTTCACCTTTTTATACGCGGGTTTGTATTTTAGAAGTTCGCCAACCCAACAAAACTGCAGTTTTTCGGAAAACGCATTTGTGTTATCGGTGGCCGTGAAACGATAGTGGAACATTTTGGAACAAACGTTTCTTAGGCGAACCGCGTTGTTTCCAACTCTTTTGGCGCGGATTTGTATTTTCGAAGTTCGCCAACCCAGCAAAACAACCGTTTTTCAAAAAACGCATTAAATTTATCGGTGGCCGTGGAACGACGGTGGAACGTTTCGGAACAAACGATTCTGAGGCGATTAGCATTATTTTCTCCCTGTTTACGCAGGTTTGTTATTTGGAAGTTTGCCAAACCCAACAAAACAACTGTTTTTCCAAAAACACAATTGTGTTATCGGTGGCCTTGAAACGATGGTGGAACATTTCGGAACAAACGATTCTGAGGCCATTAGCATTATTTTCACCCCTTTTTACGCGGGTTTGTAGTTTGGAAGTTCGCCAACCGAATAAAACAACTGCTTTTCGAAAAACGCAATTGTGTTATCGGTGGCCGTGAAACGATTGTGGAACATTTTGGAACAAACGATTCTGAGGCGAACCGCGTTTTTTCCAACTCTTCTTGCGCAGATTTGTATTTTCAAAGTTCGCCAACCCAACAAAACAACCGTTTTTCGAAAAACGCATTTTATTTATGGTTTGCCGTGGGACGACGGCAGAACATTTCGGAACAAACGATTCTGAGGCGATTTGCATTATTTTCACCCCTGTTTACGCAGGTTTGTTATTTGGAAGTTTGCCAACCCAACAAAAGAACTGTTTTTCGAAAAACGCAATTGTGTTATCAGTGGCCTTGAAACGATGGTGGAACATTTTGGAACAAACGATTCTGAGGCGAACCGCGTTGTTCCCAACTCTTTTTGCGCAGATTTGTATTTTTGAAGTTCGCCAACCCAACAAAACGACCGTTTGTCGAAAAACGCATTTCATTTATCGGTGGCCGTGGAACGACATGGAACATTTCGGAACAAACGATTCTGAGGCGATTAGCATCTTTTCACCTTTTTCACGTGTTTTTTTTATTTTGGAAGTTACCCAACCCAATAAAACAACCGTTTTTCGGTAAACGCATTTGTGTTATCGGTGACCTTGAAACGATGTTGGAACATTTTGGAACAAACGATTCTGAGGCGATTAGCATTATTTGCACCCCTGTTTACGCACATGTGTTATTTGGAAGTTCGCAAATCCAACAAAACAACCGTTTTTCGGAAAACGCATTTGTGTTATCGGTGGCCTTGAAACGATGGTGGAACATTTCAGAACAAACAATTCTGAGGCAAAAAGCATTATTTTCACCCCTCTCTACGCGGTTTTGTGTTTTGGAAGTTCGCCAACCCAACAAAACAACTGCTTTGCGAAAAACGCATTTGTGTTATCGGTGGCCGTGAAACGATGGTGGAACATTTTGGAACAAACGATTCTGAGGCAAACCGCGTTGTTTCCAACTCTTTTTGCGCAGATTTGTGTTTTCGAAGTTCGCCAGTTCAACAAAACAACCGTTTTTCGAAAAAACACATTTCATTTATCGGCGGCCGTGGAACGACGCCGGAACAATTCGGAACAAACGATTCTGAGGCGATTAGCATTATTTGCACCCCTGTTTACGCAGGTGTGTTATTTGGAAGTTCGCCAATCCAACAAAACAACCGTTTTTCGGAAAACGCATTTGTGTTATCGGTGGCCTTGAAACGATGGTGGAACATTTCGGAACAAACAATTCTGAGGCCAAGCATTATTTTCACCCCTCTTTACGCGTTTTTGTGTTTTGGAAGTTCGCCAACCCAACAAAACAGTTGTTT